TGCATGTTAGCTGAAATTGTCATAAACTCTTAAAAGCCCTAATTAAATATTTGTTTGGAATTACAGCTTAAATGTATATATGACTGTCTTAAACTCTTGCAAAATATTCATAGGAAATTCCCCTGACGTCTTATCGGACAAATTTTAAAACAGTTATTTACCAAATGGGAAATATTTATCATAAATGTAGATATGCAATTGTACAAGTAAGTCTTTTTCTCTTATGCGGGGAAATAAAAAATAGCCTTGAGTCTCAGCACCGAAAGAAGTTCAGGCCAAATGAGTCATCTGCAAGAGCGAGCGAGATAGACAACTACTGCGGTTGATGTCATTGAAAGAGACAATTGCGTATTTACACACGAATTTTTGTTGTTTAGCTTTTGCAAATGGCAGCTGTGCGAACTGAAACAAAATGTCTTTTATAATGTAATTTGGGTATTTGTTTTCACGCATCAATGCCAGCTATCTATTTTTATAGCTGAAATGAATTCACTGACTCAATTAGTGAAGATTCTGTAAGTTGAATGCACTTTCAATTTTATTCATTTTTTTTTATGGTCAAAACAATTGCGCAAGAGCGAAAACAAAGTAAATATTTGCAATCATTATGAGTTTTTCTCTTTTGTTTCGTGCCAAGGCGAAGTTAATGAAGTCGCCGACGCCAACGCTGCCGCCGCTGCCGGCGCTAACCTTTGTCGGCTTTACAGTTAAAGCTCAGTTCGCTACTCTCTGCGCTCTGTGATTACATGCTAATTGCTTTCTGACCCATTTCGCCGAAAAAAAAGAGTTGGTAACTGGAGCAGAAGAAAGAATTCTGTAACCGAATTCGACTTCGACATCCAGTTCGACTTCAAGTTCGAGCTGTTGCCTGCCTGCATATAATTAAGATAATATTTTATACTCTTCCGCATTTTGGGCTGCGCTTTGTGAGTCACAGAGCGAGGGCCACACTTGAGACTTGGCAGCTCGCCGAAGATGAAAGAGATAAGGAATTGGGTGTGCCCTTTGGCATATCACACAGATCGCAGATCATTTAGGCTGTGGAACACATCCGTTAATTGTATAGCAGAACTTACCTGTACCTGGCACACACTAACAGCTAAGTTCTTCGTCATATTGGAGAGTTTTGTGAATAAATTTAGAATATAAATTATATGTTTTCCAGTCCTGTGGTGACTGAAAGTTAGGTTGAGAGGCGACTGTGCCTCTTATTGCTGGCCTCGGGCTCAGACAATGAAATAAGCCATTTAACGAGCAAATGACGGAGTGAATATTTATTTAAGCGGTTTACTGGAAGAACGCTTTTTAACCCTGCTTTTAATTGTTCTTTTTTGAATAATCGAAACAGTTAATTTTATTGGTTTTTCTTATTATATTCACTATTTTTAGTTTTACTTATATGACACCAATTTTTAGCATGTCCTATCAGTACGAGTTAAAACACGAGACTGATCTATATTTTTACAAATCATAGCCTCACCGGCGTAAGTAGAGTTGCTCTTGCCAGGGCTGTTCCTTAACTTGTCTAGCACCCGATAATAAGTGTTGAATAATACCTTATATTAAGTGTTATAAGCTAACTAAGTGTTATAAGTTAACTACCCCCCCCTCAAGTGTAAGGTCGTCCTCGACCGACCCAATTCCAGCGACGACTCCTCGCAAGTGCTTCGCGGACTTCTTTGCGTCGATGATCCACCAAAGAGTGAGGCCAATGCAGATTAAAGCACAGCATATGGCTCCTCTTTCGGAGTGCCGTACAACGACACATCATCAAAGTGCACCATTTCGGTTCCTTGGTCGCATATTAGCAGCGGTGACCAGCGAGTCGGTGCAGGTGTTCTCGAATGAAATCCGCAAGTCGTTCTCATTCACATTCAATACGGAGCAGTATGAGCAGCGTACTGATTCTTCGCTATCGCCGTTCAGCAGGCGCTTACTAAGCTTGCTCTTGCGCCTACGTATGTGGCGTCTGTTGAAGCTGTTGGTGCCCGACGTGGACGTGAGCCTTGGCATCGGATGATGCACACCAAAGTTGTGCAGCTGCAGCGACTTGAGTGTGGCTGGCGCCGTCGATGACTGGCCGTGCACGTGCCCGTGATGGCCGTGATGACTGTGTCCCACCACTCCAGCGATGCTATGAGCCGTTACTGGACGAGTGATGTGTGTAGTCTGTCGGCGCGCTCAGCTGGCGATTGAATTCGGCCTTGCGGCGCGTCAAGTCCGTCAGGCAGTATTTGTTCAGATGGCCGTTGCTGGAGACAGGGCTCTTGGGCGATGATGCCAGATGCTGCGTATAGGCCGAAGGAGTTGCTGCTCACGCTTAGCTTATTGCCGGCGTTGTGCAGCAGATTGTTACAGTTCTTGCCGCTGATCTTGGCCGACTTTTGCCCGTCGTCGGTATCGTGTTGCTGCTGCTGCTAGCCGCCCTGTACTCCTTGTCGTCGCTCTCGCTGCGCACCGATGCTCGATACGCAGGAAATGTCTTCGTCTTGCTCTTCAGCGAGCCGTTCAGCAGTAGCTGCTGTTGCCGTGCGGCAACTGCCGACAATGCCGGCCGCTGCAGTTGACGTGACGCCGCTGCCGATGAGGATGAGGATGAGCCGGCAGCTGTGGAAGGTGCCGACAGAGATGGACAGCGGTTGGAGCAACCTGTGGCTGTGAAACTTCTTGAATTAATGCAGTTGGCGGTGTTTTGGGGATTTCTTGACTTGGTTCTAGTATGGATGAAGAGTCGCTTGGCTCTGCCGCCGCGAAGAACTCGTTAGTTGTTGCTTCTACTGTTGGTGGTGGTGCCGTGAACAAGGGGATTTCCTCAACGATTCCGCTTGTAGATTTGCCTGCTGTGGTTCTGGCTTAGCATCCAACTGTGGTGCGAATAGAGCTGTTGCTGGTCCTTGTGAAAATATGGGCAAACTCTGTGATGTTGGGAATAATGGAACTTCCGAAACAGGTGCAGTTGACGGTGGTGCAAATAGTGTAACCTCCTGATTTTGATTTGAAGAGCTCTTTAGCTCTTCCCTCTGAGTCGGTGACTTAAAAAGGTTGTTGCTTGTATCTGGTGTAAGTCCTTGTGTTGCGTTAGTCGGACTGGAAAAGAGAGGAACCTCCTGAAGTGTATCGGATAGTGCTGGTGCAAAAAGCGATGTAGTTGCTTCGTGAGTCTGAAAGAGGCCCGTCGATGCCTGTGGTGTAAACAGCGATGTTGCTGGCCCAGTTGGGGGTGGTGCAGCCGCAACAGAGGAACTTCCTGGCTTGGCGCTGGTGCAGCTGACGGAGCTGGCGCTGTAAATAGGGCAACTTCTGTAGGCTGTGCTCCAAAAGGATTAAAAATAGCAGCAGGTGCTGCGAAGGGTGCAAAGGGCGTGGCTGTTAAAGCTGTTTGCTGGCCACAGCCTGTTGCGGGCACTGCAGTTTCCTGAGCTGTCAGTGGACTCTTGTAGAGTCTGGTACCCTTCTGCAGGCGGTACGAGGAGTGTGCAGGTCCTGCCGCTGGTGGTGGTGCTGCTACTGCCGCTGGTGGGGGAGTTGCTGCAGCCACTGATGGCGGTGCAAACGTTGGAGTACTCTCGATTAAACCAGGTGCTTGAGCAGCTGTCAGTGGCTGAGGGACAGTGGCTACTTGGGTGACTGTCGGAATCTGAGCGTATGTCGCTGGCGGAGCAGTTGCCCCAGGCTGAGTAAATGTCGGTGGTACCGCGGCTGGCGTTGGCTGAACACCGGTTGATTGCCCAGAAACAGCTGGTGCTGGCGTAAAGAAGTTACCAACAGACGGAGCTGCAGCAACTACGGAAGGATTGATGTAACCACCTACAGTGGGTGGTGCTACAGTGGGCGAAAAATAATCAGCAGCAGCAGGCGGAGCTGCAGGCGTAAAAAAGTTTGCAGGCGGCTGCGGTACGGCAGCGCCGGATGTGCTTATGTCAAAGTAGCCACCAGAATCAGCTGGATTGTAGCTGGCTGGTGGGGGTGGCGCAGGTTCGTTGGTTCTGCCTGTGGCCGATTGCACTAGACCCGAAATATTCTGTAACACGCCAGTGGGCTCTAGACTAGTGAGTGAGAAGAGACCACCGCTCTTGCGTTCCTCTTGAACGGCTGGTGGTGCAGGCTGCTCGAATGCTGCTGCTGCCGCCGCTGCCGATGGCTGTGTGGGATATGGCGGTGCTTGGAAGGGATCAACAGCTGGCACTGGCTGCTGTTGCTGCTCGGAGAGACCTGGTATGGGTGCGTATAGCTTCTTTCTGGCACTAATGCGATAAGTGTTCTGTCCGGCCCCACGTTGGGCGCCAATTATATGGTTTCCAGTCCTGTGGTGACTGAAAGTTAGGTTGAGAGGCGACTGTGCCTCTTATTGCTGGCCTCGGGCTCAGACAATGAAATAAGCCATTTAACGAGCAAATGACGGAGTGAATATTTATTTAAGCGGTTTACTGGAAGAACGCTTTTTAACCCTGCTTTTAATTGTTCTTTTTTGAATAATCGAAACAGTTAATTTTATTGGTTTTTCTTATTATATTCACTATTTTTAGTTTTACTTATATGACACCAATTTTTAGCATGTCCTATCAGTACGAGTTAAAACACGAGACTGATCTATATTTTTACAAATCATAGCCTCACCGGCGTAAGTAGAGTTGCTCTTGCCAGGGCTGTTCCTTAACTTGTCTAGCACCCGATAATAAGTGTTGAATAATACCTTATATTAAGTGTTATAAGCTAACTAAGTGTTATAAGTTAACTTATATATTTGACATGTCACAAAAAAAACAGATTCTAGATCTAACAAAATTTTCGTTTTGTTACAAGTTCTTTGGCATAGCTAATGCACCGCCTTCGCTAGTTAGAGTATTGCTTTGGTAAATAAACACACGCGTGGGCGTCTTTGGCGACGCGCAGTCGATAACGTAACGAGCCGGGCAGGTTGCCAAAATCAAAATTGTTGCAATATGTTGAGGGTGTGTAAACGGGAAAGAGAGAGAGAGAGAGATAGGCATGCCACTTACCCTGCGCTGCTGCGGTTGCTGCCTCTGCTGCTCATAAAAGTTGCTGCTGCTGCCATTCCCTAGCCATTCCACATCGCTACAAGATCAAAAGAGAGACAGAAAGAGGGAGAGCCCAGTCAACCACATGTTGAACGAAATTCACCACACAACAAACAAAAGCAAGCGCTCTCGCGCTCTCTTCGTGCTCTTCGTACTCACCGCTGCATGCGCTTTATAACCGGCAACTGTGCAGTGCTATCGTGAATGCGCACTTGATCCGGCGTTATCTCTTCCAGCAGAAACATATTTTTGCTCGCCAGTGGCAGCGAAGTCGCGTCGCTCTCGGCTGCGCCGCCGCCGCTGTAGAAGAGCGGGCTGAGCGGCCGGCATGCGCCACCCAAAAGCTCATCAATGTTTTGATGACGCGAAATGAAAAGCTTATCGCCCACACGGCACGCGGGCGGCGTGTAAGAGTAGCGCGGCGGCGGCGTTGGCGGTGACTGTGACGCCGACTGCAACTGCAACTGCAACTGCGGCGCTGCCATTTGAACTTTTGACATTGGAATGTTATCGTAGGGCGATGCGCAAAGCTTTCGCTGCTCGATTTGATCCGTTTGCTCTGCCGGCAGCGGACTGGCGCACTGACCTAACGGATTCGGACGCACCGAGTAGGCAAAATCGAAGGAGCTGCTCATCTCACAGGGCTGATTGAGCACCTGAGCATCGACCTGGTCGCCATTTGCTGCCTGCTGCTCCGGCTGCTCTGGCTGCTCCTCCTCCGCCAGCCACCAGGCACGTTCACCTGAGTCCCAGGGCTTGATGATGCGTGGCGGTGGCGTCGGCGGCGGCGTTGGCAGTTTTACTGGCTGCGGCTGTGGCTCCACCTGCTCCTGCTCCTGCCACCAGGCGCGCTCGCCAGACTCCACGCGCTGCACATTGAAGAGCTTCTTAGCAGGTCCTGCTTGCCACCAGGAAGGCGACTTAGCTGCGGATTGGCTGCTTTTGCTGCTGCTGCTGGGCAGCTTCAAGGTCACCTCCACATTGTTGCAATCCTCGTGGTAGCCATTCGATTTGGATTCCGGCTGCTGCTGTTGCTGTTGCTCCTCGTCTAGCCACCAGGCATCCTGCTCGGGTGAGATGCGACTGCGTGGCATGCGCTTCACTTGCTGCTCCTGCTCGCTCTGCTGCTCCTCCTGCTCCATCTCTCTTTCGTGCTCCTCCTTGCTGCTGCTCCATCTGTAGCCTGTCTCTCCCTGCGATAAAGTCGCAGCACTCGCATCCTGCTCGTCATCCAACGCATTCAGCGTTGTCTCTGCCAGCGTATCATCCTCATCGGGGCGCAGCCACCAGGCATGATCCTCGCCCGAATCGATGTGCCTCAGTCTGTAGGGCATGTCGCTGCGATTGTTGTTGTCCAAGGCGGAAGCTGTGTTGATCTGTAAGCTCGTGTCCTGCCACCAGCTGGGCTCCTCTGTGTCCTCCTGCTGCGCCTCGCTGGTCAAGCTTTCCAGTCTGGTAGTCGTTTGGTTGGGACTTGTTGTTGGATTCGTTGTCGTCGTCGTCGTCGTCGTCGACTTTGACGTCGTCGTCGCGGTCGTTGTCGCTGGTTCGTTCGTTTGCGTGTCTAGCAAGAGACTGGCCAAAGCTGGTTGGGATTCCGCCTCGCTGCCAGCGCTCTCGGAGCTTTCGAGGAAGATCGGCTCACTATTTGTGTCTTGCTGACGAGTGGCCAAAAAATTCGATACCTTCGACAGTTTCTGTAGCCGCGACTGCGACTGCGACTGCGACCGATCCACTGCCACCCCCCCATTGGGTGACTCAATCGACGACTTGTTGCTATTTTGGTTGCCCAATGCTAATTCTACGCTCTCGCTCGCACTCTCTTTCGACGGCTGTCCCTCTCTTTGCCTTTCCTTTTCTTTGACTTTGTTTTGGCTGCCATTTGCTGGCGCTTTTTTCTTGTTAGCTTTTTTAGTTGTCTTCGCGCGCTGTTCGCTATCGGACGAGGAGCAAGCAGAGGTGGTTGAACAGCTGGCACTGCTCTCCTTGCTCCCATTGCTGCCATTGCATTTGCTGCTCTCCTTGCTCTCTTTGCTCTCCTTGCTGCTCTCTTTGCTGCTCTCTTTGCTGCTCTCTTTGCTGCTATTACTTTCATTACTTCCATTACTTTGTTTGCTCTCTTTGCTTCTATTGGTCCTATTGCTTCCATTGCATATGCTGCTCTCTTTGCTCCCATTGCTGTCGCTACTTGCATTGCTCTCCTTGCTGCCATTGCATGATTTATGCCCTTTAAGCTGTCGCGCCGCTGTCTTCCCATTGGTCAGCTTGACAGGCTTTGAGGCACTGCAGTCTGATCCTGCACTTGGTGAGCGTTCCACGACTGGCTCCTCTGACTCGCCTCCACTGCTGGGCGTTCTAGACTGCCTCGGTCTATCCGTAGGACCCACATTTAACGAGCTTTTGCGAAAGTCCTTGTTGGGCCAGGGCCATTTGGCTAAGGAGCTGCTCGAGCTGTTGCTGCCGTTGCAGCTCTTGGTGGGCGACTCCGCTTTGGCGGGCACTGCGGGTGGTTTGTTCACAAGATTCTCCACTGAGGATTGGCGAGAATTCAAGCGAACTGCTTTAGGTGGCGATAGCTTGGACTTGCTGGAGGACTTACTGCTGGCCAGGCTCACGGCTCCATTGCTTTTGCTCTCTACGCTGGGCGTGCTTGACTTGGGTGAGCTGCTTGCCTGGGGACTGGCGCTGTAGCGCAGGCTGCTAATGCGATCTCTGTGCGTGCTGTAGCTGGAGCTGATGGAGCTGCTGCCGCCGGCGCTGTAGCGTAAATAGCGTGTGGAGTCATCCAGTCGATCCGATTGTATCTCCTTCTCCAGCGTCTGACGTTTCCTTGTCGACCGCTGTATGGTCTTCTCAATGGTCTTGGCTATGTCTATGCGACGTGTGCGCTGCACTGTGGTGCTGCCAGGTGGCGTCGGTGAGGTGGCTCTCGTAACCACCACCACAGAGACGAACGTTTCCTCTGGCTCCTCCTTTTCCTGCTGCACTTCTTCCTTCTCCTCCTGCTGCTCCTCCTCTTTGCTGTTCAGCTCATCTTCTGTTTCTTTGACTTCTTCCGCTTTTGGCTGCTGCTCCTCCACCTCCTTCTCCCTGCTCGCCTTGCGACTGGCACTCCTCGCATGAAAGTCACTCGTCGTCAAATAGGAGATGGACTTGTCCAGCGTGCTACTGGCTCCACTAAGTCTCGTTGCACTTGGTGCATAGCGACTGTTGTAGCCATTCCTCGAGACGCTGCTCCGATAGGCAGTTCCCCCTAGCTGCGGACTGGGATCCCTTGACTTGGATGTCGCCCGATTCGTGTGCTCCAGTGCCACAGGACTCGGATCCCGCGAACGTCCATACTTGCTAAGCTTTGTGCTGGCTCCCGTGTAGCGTTTGATGGGACTGCTGCGATCGCTGCTGGTGACATCGGGCTTGCTGGGCTCCGTCTTGGCATAGCGACTCACGTAGCTGGTGACGGGCGTCGGAGCAGGCGGATCACGCTTGATCCGATACGTGCCGCCAGAGAACGAGGGCCTGTAGGAGCTGGGCGTGGCCAGCGAAGTGTAGCGCGACGTGGCACCACTGCCCAAGTCCGATCCCAAAGTGTACTGAGAAACGAAAGGGAAATTAGTGCTTGGCTGGGAGAATGGAGAAAGCTTAGAACTTACTGTAGAGCTGCTCGGCTTGTATGAGCTGCCCAGGTTCGATTTCCAAGGTGCCTGTAAAATATGGAGGAGGAGAATATATTAAAAATTAAAATATGGGTTTATATTGTAAAGAGAGAGGAAAAGAGAGAGAGAGAGAGATAGAGAAGGAGAAGGAGATATAGAGAGATAGAGAAAGAGGAAGGTATAAGGAAGAAAAGATTAACAGAAAGACAGAGAGAGATTAAAATAAGAGAGAATATTGACAAAAAGAGATATAGATAGAGAGTGATAGAGATAGACAAAGAGAGAGATCGCTAGAAATAGAAAAAGGGATTGAAAGAAATGCAGAAAGCCAGAGAGAGATAGAAAATAGAGTTCAATGGAAAAAGAGAGAGAGAAATAGAGAAGAAGAAAGGAAGAGAGAGAAAAATAAAGAGATATGGAGTTCAATGGAAAAAGATAGAGAGATAGAAATAAAGAAAAAGAAAGGAAGAGAAAGAAAAAGAAAGAGAAGGAGAGAGATTGAGAAAGAGAAAGAAGCAGATAGAGAAATTTAGAGAGCCAGATCAAATCAGATACACAGAGAGACTGATAGAGTGAGCGAGAAGAAGAGACTGTTGAGTTGAGAGTGAGACAGAGTAAAGTAGAGTGTAAGGCAGAAGGAGATAAAGAGAAGAACTTAGAGTGAGATTTTTATTTATTTATTTCTTAAGACTAAAGCAAATCACAAAGACAGAGAGAGTGAGTGAGAGCTGAATGGAGACAGTAGATTAAAGCAGAGAAACAGAGAAACAAGTAAAAAGAACAGCGAATTGTAGAGTATGTAAAATATGGAGAATATAAATGATGGAGAGAAAAAGTTGTATATTTGTGAGATTAACATGATATCAAAGGCTTTTCAGATCTGCAACATCTGAAAATGCTCTGGCACATCTACCAGATGAGCCCATAAATCAAGGCTGCTCTTTCAATCAAAATGAAGTTTACATATATTTCTTATAATATTTACTCTCTTCTTTACTTCGAGCTGCAATTGAGTTTGATCGATTGGCGCTCTCAGCTTCGCCACATGAAAAGCAATCGCTGCGAACTTGAGATGCATTCGACAATTATTCGCCAGCTCATTTCATTATCTGCCACCGATTGTGGCAAGGGATGAGCTAGGCATGCCAGACACATCAACGCCATCAACTGCCCGCGGCCCCAGGCCATAGAGCCCAGGCCCCACATGGTTTTTGGCTTGCTTTGAACTCGTTTCTCGCTCGCGTTTTCTACTCAATTTCAATTTCAATTTCAATTTCAATTAAATGGCGCTGCTGCACGCATTTCTTTCTATTTTCCCTTTTTTCAATTAATTCAGACGTGTAAACAGATTCATTTATCGAAATTTCAACATCTGCGTGCATTAGAAGGAAAAGCCATCTCTAAACCCTGCACCTCCCGCCCAACCTCCCTTCCTCCCTCTCTCTCACTCTGCCTTTGCACATCTCTTGCTGCGTTGCCAGACAGCGAATTCATATTGCGAAATCCATGTCAGCTTTTTATAGAAATTTGGCAAGCGAGTCCTCAATTAATATTAATAGTACTTAGGTTCTAGATACGCCTGGGCTATTAAATGTCGAGGAATGTCGAGGAAAAATGCTCTAATGAAAATTCCAAATTGGAAATCTGAGGGCAAATGAAGTCGCAGTTAAAGTGGCCATAAAAATCAACGATTTACCTGAATGCCATAACGAATGCTCCACTCTGATTCGTGCATGAAATTCCAGTCTAGATGCTTATTGAATACCCCTACTCCCCCTCGCTGTTGCTGCTTCTCGATCGACCCGCCTCTCGCCCTGCAGCTCGGGGCTGGCGCTGGGCTCTGCCTCGGTTACCATTTGGTTAGCTCCCTTGGAGCTCTGGGCTGGCGCCTCTCTAGCCCGTCCGTATGACATGTGCCATAAAAAATGCATATTTCTTCGGCTCCTAAGTACCGCCCGCCCAGCAAGAGGGGGCGGGGCAGCTGAGGCATTTAATTGTTGTTGCTAGCGAAATGGAATGCCAAATGCAAATAGCGCAACAATGTGCAAAGTAAACGAAGTGGCAGAGGGGGAAGCTGGAGAGGCAGCTGATTATTGCCATGTGGCATGCCACAAGCAGAGAGTGTTCCCCTGCCACTCGCTCCCTCTCACTCTTTTGACAGCGTTATTACGCGAACTCAATTAGGCTTTGCCCAGGCAGGATATAAAACGTCGGCCCTATCTGTCAGTTGGTAATGCCCATAAAGTCGAAGAGATCGAGCAAATGTTACAAATGTGCATTTAGCGAAATGCAACAAAATGTGGCAGCAAATGCGGCCAACGAAATCAAATTACTCGAAGGCAAAAAAAACATTCGCGTGCCATCGCAGCAGACAGATGATTTATTTTCTCTTCTGCTTCTCAAAATATTTTTAGTTTTTGGTGTCAAAAATGTATATATATGCGCGTATCTGATAGATATGCACAATATATATATATATATACACATCTGATACATATATACGCAATCTGCCTTTATGCCAGCAGCATAGAAATCTTACAAAGTGCTTTAAAAAGTTGAATAAACGCAACAAGTAATAAAGCAACTGAGAGCAGACGTGATAGACTAAGAAATACCCTGTAAATTAATGAGTAATAATAAATATATATATACATATACATAAATGTCATATAAGCAATGATTGATCAATTTGCTCTGAAAGTGGCCGAGAGGGAAATCGAAGGACAGAGATAGATAGTAATTTAGAAAGAGAGAGAAAAACATAACTGCTAATTAAATAGGAAATAATAGACAGAGAGAGAGAGAGAGAGAGAGCGAGAGAGAGAGAGAGAATAAGAGAGAAAAAAGGAAGGAGGGAGAGGAAGTGAGAAAGAGAGAACTGCGAATAAATTAGGATATATCAAGACAGAAGAAAGAGTAAGAGATATTGATAGATATAGAAAGAGATAGAGCGAGACAAAGGGATGGAGCGAGAGAGAGAGAGCGATAGAAGGACAAAGAAATAAAGAGAGCGATAGAGAGAGATGAAGAGAAAGATAGCGATATATATGGAGAGAGCGGGATCAAGAAAGAAAGAGAGATAAGAAGACAGAGAGTAGAAGAAACACAACTGAATACGAGCAGGTACGACCCGACCTCTGTGAAATATAATCTGATCTATAAAAAAAACTTGAATTTCCCGATTTTTTAGACTTTTTGATCGCATTCCACAGGAAATATGTTTAACATATTTCACATAAGAAAAAGTAGCTTAAAAATAAATAAAAACCAACATATTGCCTAGCAAAAAGAAAATGTCTATAACATGACCTAACTTTGCTATGATTTCAACTCAATCAAAATTAGAGAGATGGGAGAGATAAGATAAGAGAGATAAGAGATAAAAAGAAATGTTAAAAAAGGCTTAGAAAGGCTTTATTCCATTCGCAGATGCAACTAAGAATTATGTAAGAAATAATAAAAAAAAAAATGCAGTGTTGGAAAACGGGAAAGGGAAACTTTAAGCCTTCAACATTGAACTGGAAACAAAAGAATATCCACGCAAAAAGGTGAATAATAGATAATTATAATCTGGTTAGGTTTTATTTGAAAAATTACTTGACATAGATGAATTTAAAGGAAAAGTTGAGATACATTTGCGAATAGAATGAATGGAGAAGCAGAACAACGAATGCCAAAAGGGAGTTAGACGAAAACGGTGCAAAATCGTGGAAAATTGTGATGGAGATCGTATAAAATATATAAAAATCTGTATAGCAAAAGGTACCCAGAAGTAGACATGCATACACACACACATACATATATATGCACATGTGTATGCATACATACACACACACACGTATATGATTAGTTAAAATAAAAATTCTTCTATTGCACTCAGTTCTTGGATTGTTTTAGTTTTCGTCATTTGGTCATTTGGTCATTCGGTGTCAGCGTTGCGTTGCGTTACGTTCGTTCATACATATAGACCGTTATATACGCACGCATACATACATATATCGATATACACACACATACATACATACATACATTTATATAGATATAGATAAATATAAATATATATATATACACATATATATAGACATATGTAGATGCAGTCGTAGCCAGCATAAAATTGAGCTAAGTTTAATAATTGTTGTTGCTGTTGTCGTTAACGTTGTTGTTGTGGTTGTTGTGGTTGTTTTTGTTGTTTTTGTCGTTGTTATTGTTGGTGGTGGTCGTGGTGTTGGTTTTGTTCTTGTTGTTTCTATGACAATAAACCAAAACAAGCGAACAGCAATTTGAAAGTTTGCCAAATCAATGATATCAAAACTAGGCAGATTTTTCGTGTGACGGCGGCTGCGACAACTTGGTCATGGATAGCTTGGGAGCGGAGTCTAGCGGCAGGATCAGGCCCAAGTTTCTCGTCTCCGGCACGAAGGGCTCCCAGATTGGGGGCCTCGATGGATATTTGTCCATGGCATCGCGCATGCCGCGCATGCCCAGCTCCAGGGCGCAATTGGCCGAGCTGCGCCCGGCCGGCTGCTGTGTGAATGGTCCATTGAAGTGCACATAGATATCGCCCTGGCTGGCCAGGTCCAGGCCATACGTGGTCAGATCCTCGCCGGTGACCAATTGTATGGCGTTCGCATTGTTGCTGCGCGAGGCGCGCAAATTTGCCACGAGCCCGCCAATGCCAAAGATGTCCGGCAGCAATGTTCGCGTCGTGCCATTCAGCTGCTCCGGTGTGCTGCTACGGCTGGCCGGGCTAACAGCAGCTGGCTCCGCCTCCTGCTGCTCCTGCTGCTGCTGTCCCGCCACTTGCCCCTGCCCAGTCTCTGGCAGCAGCGCCGAGACGCTCTCCTGATACAAAACATCCGAATGCTGGCCAAAGATATCCGTGAACGTGGGCAGCGAGGGCAGCTGATTGTGCAGCTCCGGAAATAGACGATACTCCCAATCGCTGGCCGGCACACTGGTTGGCGGATCGTGTGTATCGGTTGGCATGTCCACATCGTCGCTCTTACTCTCGATCTGCTCCTCCTGACTCGCCTCGCTGTCGCCGGCCGCGTCGTCGTGCAGCGCTATCAACGGCTTCACCTTGCAACGGGGTCGTCGTCGTCTGGGCATGTTGTGTACTGAAATCCGACTTTCGAATAGCTTTGAGAAACAATTGTTAACTGTCGCCCGGCCTCCCCCCATACACATGTTTGGAGCAACAGTTGGCGACTATATACAGGCTATATACACACAGTCAATTCACACTTCGGTTTATTAATTAGGTGGCCAATGCGCCACCCACTTGCCACAATCCACTTTCCGCTTTATGCGTGCCCCATACACAGTTACAGCTTCCTTCGGGCCATAAAAGTCGCGCAGCAGCAGGACAGTTCACCAAGACTCAACTTACAAACGACACAACAATAAAAAAAAATTAATTTTTCCCCTTTTTCGAGCATTTTTCAAAACGAAACTGTCTAAAAATAAACAGCCTCCAACATCTCAGCAAACTTCAACTATGAAAACTCGTCCGAGCCCCATCAATCGAAACAATCTTTAATTGATTTATGGCCCAAGTGCTTAGCCAGCGTCAAAAGGTCACATAAAGTCGTGAACAGCGACATTTAAGACTATCCCCGCTGATGCGATAATAGGATGCCGTTCTGAATGGCTTGAAAGTGTGAAGAGAGGTGCACAATAGGGAGAAAGACTGCTGCAGGGCAAGGTATACTAAATAAGTTCTCAAAGTTCTTATGCTATATACAAATGCTTGGCATAGATGGAGTGATGTGAGTACTAGATACTTGGCATCTGCTTGAAGATTTATGTTAATTAAGCTAGGACAGCAAAACTTGATAAGTTTTTAGTAGTCAAGACTCAGCTTACACTTTTAGGCAAGCTATCGACATGTCCACTTCTAGCTTGAAGCGAGAAAAGTCACAGATTCTTTTCTTTAATATATATTTAATATATATCTCAATTTAATTTATTTACATATCTCAAAAGCAGTTAAACCAAGGCTGCAAGACAAAGTTGATTCAATCTACATTCGCTTAAGTAACGAACTTTTAATTTATGAGAATTGCATAGAAAGGCGCCTTAAGATTGTTTTTTCTTCTTTGCAAAAATAGAATAGAATAAATAGACTAAACTTTAACTAAGTATAGTAAATACAATAACAAACATATGTCAAACTGATGCTGCTTTCTACTTTATATTGAATAAGCCATATTTAGCTCATAAAACCTTAAAGCCAATCAAAACTAACAAATATCAAGCATAAATCATGCTAATGTCTAAATGATATACAATTACAATTCAATCGGGCGATTCGAAGAAATGAAATTCAAATGAAAATTCAAAATAATCATTGAATAAACGAAAAACAGAACCAGAAAAAAAATAACAAAAAATATCAATTACCAAAGAAACAAAAAAAAATTGAACAACTATGCAAAAGTTGTGGAATTGTTTAACATGGAACTGGGCCATTAACACGCCTCAGCTCGCAACAACAACAACAACAACAACAAAAGTTGGCGAAAACAAAAGTTGGCCAAAGGAAAAACTAAATTTGTTGTAGATACAATTAGACGAGTGTTTGGGCAGACGTATACGTAATATGGCATAAGGTGGTGTGGGTGTGCTATGAAAAGCGACGCAAAACTAGACACTAAATACATGAGCTGCAGCAACAATTAGAAACAAACAAACTAGCGAAAATTGCAAGCAATAGATACAGATACAGATAGAGATACAGATACAGCTACAGCTACAGCTACAGCTATAGATACAGCTACAGCTACAGCAAAGAGTTTGAAATTTACTTACATAACTGCGATAGGATGACATGCTGATTACGTTATTTTGGCATCTGCTTTTGGCAGCAATTGCGTTTGCGTTTGTTTTAATTCTTTTTTTAACGTTTCGTTTTCTTGCTTTGTTTATTCAACAATTCATGGCATTTAACACAGATAGATAGATATTTTTATGCACACACACACACTCATATATATATATATATATATATTTATAAATTTATATTTTTTATTGTAGGCACACACAACAAATTAACTGCTGTTGACAATTAGTGCAACGTTTCGCGCTGGCCACTCAATTGCCATGGATGCAAAATGGATGCGAGAAATTTACTGCGAGCTAAACGCGTTGTCGCTTGCATTTTTGCAGGCACTGTGACAGACGTCGCACACTTTACATAATCCGCCGGCACGCAGCATCAGTGCAAGCTAAAGGAGTGTGAGTTGCTCGAGCAGCAGCCATGCCCTAGGAGCAGCACACAGAATGCAGCCGGCAGAGGCTGTGGCTAAGGCTGAGGCTGAGGCTGAGGCAGTGGCAGTGGCAGCGGCTGTGGCAGTGGCAAAATGCAACACGTCACGGGCTCGTTTTATTTATGCGCTGAGTCGCTTCGATTTCATTTTTTTTATACTTTAAATTTGACTTTTTTTTGGTTTTATTTTTCTCGATTATTTTTAAATTTAGCAAAAAACGCAGCACAGAAATTGTCGCGCGTTTGCGTTGAATTCGTGTGCGATTCGGCGCGTTGTCAAAGGAAAACTGTTGTGGAAAATCTTGTGCTGAGATTTTAACCCCGACAACAAAAATTTGTGTGTGTTTTTTTTTCGTATTTTTCTTCTTTTGTATTTGAGTTGTGCGTGTGTATTTTCGTATCGAGAGATCGCCCATTGCCCTCTCGCGCTCAGCAGCCAGGCAGGCTGCTTGCCTCTCCCTCTCACTCTGTCTCTCGCTCTCTCCCTCTCTTAGTTGCGTTTGTAAATTGCAATAATGAAACAAATAAATACAAATTTTTGTTGTTGCTCTGTTTGTTGTTGTATATAGCCACGCGTAGATCTGGCAAAAAAATTCGTACGTAATGAGATTCGTCTTTTATTTCAACATCTGTTAGAATTTATATAGTTGAAAGCGTTTTTTGAATTGAAAGTACAAATTTTGCATTCGTTTTCGACTCTGATTAGCAGCGAAATATGCCTAAAAATAGTATATAGAATATATTTTGATATTAATAAATTTTATTCTATATATGATTGCATATATATTTGGAATCGTGAGTAATCAATGAGTGGGCGCAATAACACGAATATATATAAATATATATATATAAATAAATAAATATATATATGTTACTATAAAGAATAGCAGACAATAATTTACTGTTAGATTAGACTTCATTAGATATCAGCTATTTGTGATATATTTATGTGTTTGTTAATCTAGTTTGGAATCGCAGTTTAAACTGAGGATTTTGAAACTATAAACTACGATTTATTTATAGTAAATTAAATTAGAAATAAAAGCTTCTTGAGTTACTTAGTTTAGGCACGCGATACTTTATATACTTATACTACATATTATATATATATACTACATATACTATGTTTTTCGAGCGTTGTGGTTCGAACCCGAATTGCTTCATTTTAAACTACTAACTGCAAACTGCAGCGCCAGATTTGCCAAGCCGAAGCCGAGCCATTTGGGCTTACAGTTTCGCAGCCTGAATCAAACCATTGACTTTTATTTTGCTCAACCTGCTGGAAAGCTTTATAGTCTAAAACTTATGCATTTCAGTAAATAAAAAAAAAGAGTTACAATCTGCATTTCTTCTTTTCTGTGCTAAATGGTAATAGATTTCAAGGAACACTTAAGGCTGAAGCAAATTAGATTAAACATTTGACTTACAAGTTCAAGCTGATTATCTTCAGCTTGGTTCAATGCTGAAGCCAAGTACTTTACTTTTAGTTACTTTTCAACACCAATTAAACTATTTTCACAAATCAAACTCAGTCGTGTGAGCCATTGACTGGCTGAAGTCACTGCAGCCCTGCCATATGCATGACATTGTTATAAACTCGAATAGATTTCAGCTCTCTGCATATGCCAATGCATGACATAGTTATAAAGCCAAGCAGCCTTTACATATTAGAGCTCTCGCAGCTCAATTGCTCTACGTTTCCTATTATGCACTCTTGCCTCCATCAACAACTCAGCTGCATATGAGACTATCTGTATATATATACGTGGATCTTGTGGCCCCTCCTAGAGCAAGTGTCATTAATTTATTACACATATTTGCCACGAGTGTATATATAAAGTGCATATGATATGAGCGGCAAGTACATACAGACAGCCATGCATATAGAATCGCAGCTCTCTGCACTGATATTTGGTTCTTCATTTAAAAATAACGAACTGTGTGCCACTTTTGCCGGCCACGCACACACACACACACACACAGAGGGAGATATATATTGAATGGGGCACCGGAAGCATGCGGCTAGCTAAGATGACGTCCATTCAAAAATTTAGTTATTCGGTATATCAGAAACAAAAGATTGCCTTTTGGCCTGCACATGGCGAACAGCGCGAGTCGAGGCGAGGCGAACGTGCGAGTATTGGGTTTTTGTATATATTTTAGTGAGCATTTAAATACTAAATATCTAAATATGTGCCAAAAACGAATGAAGCCAAATGCTGCTGGCCTGCACATAAATCAGAAACGGCGCGACACAGACGCTAAATTGCCTGAAAAGTCGAAAGGAAAAGCTGAAGAAAAGCCAAGCGGCCATCAATAGCTAATAGCCAGCAATTGGAAAGGGTGGCTACAAATGGCGGGGTGGGGGGCTGAGGGCGAGCCAAAGTGGCTCGACACTTTGATGAAAGACATGCAGTGGTTGCAATGGATGCTGACGCCGGGGCTGCGGAAACTTAACCTAATCTGACCGACAGATACAAATAGCTTTCAGCGCTGCAGTCAACAAAAAGTAAGAAGCAGAAAAAGAGCGTGCATTTTGCATGCTTTCCACAAATATTTTTTAACAATGCGTGAGAGACGCCAACAACAACAACAACAGCAACAAATGCAACGCCAACGCAGCCCCAGAAATAAATGCAAACAAATCGAAAACTGAGAAAAGAAAAAAAAAACAAAGAGAAAACAAGTAAGAACGCTGCGCATGGGCATACATGACTGCATAATACGCGCTTATGGTACGGCAGTGCCTAACTTAATGAATAATAAATATTTAATATACAATATACCACGCCCCAAAAGGCTTGAACCACCTGTAGAGCAGCTGAAGGGCAACTTAACTACAACATTTAGTGGTGTCAGCTGTAAGACTTTGGCAGTTGCAGTTATTTATATGTTATATGCCACGCCCTCAAGTGGATACGCCTTCGTTTTATAGTCCTTAATGCTTAATGTGACCCTTATGCACATAATTATATATATTTATAGCCTTTATATACCAAGCCTCTAGCTGCACATAGCAAAAGTAAAGGATTTTCATGCCTTCAAATTTGCTATGCCCACAGCGCGCATATAAATAAATATATAAATAAATATATAAATAAATATATAAATAAATATATATAAATATATATATAAATTCTCTACTTTGAATTCAAAAAAGTAAAAACGAATATACTCTCTTCATCACATCATGAGCGAGTATGAAAAAAAAATCGTTTGCCTCAAAACGAGAAATGAATTTTGGGCAGGCCATAAAAAATACACCGACAGCCATAAAAGTCAGACCCGGCAATCCACGGGAGCAGCCAGTGGGCAATCGAGATGCAACTGGGAAAACTGGGAAAGCGAAGAAAAACGGGAGCCACTATTGGGAGCTGCTGGCTGGGGGAAACTGGCAGGCGCAGGCCTTTCAATCATTTCTACGATTTTGAATTTGTAATTTATGTTTGGCCTTAGCCAAACAGCAAACAGATTATGCAATCAAGCGACCCAACACACAAGTTAATAAAACTAATAGCTGAGCGGGTGTGCGGCAGTGGCGGGGGCGGGGCATAGGGGGCGTGGCTGCGTGTGGATGCGTCGAGTGAGGCATTGCAGCAATTTGTTTGCCTGCCCATAAAACACCATCAAATTGTTGCCTCAAGTTGTATATTATGTCGTAACATTTTTAGTAATGCTGCAGAATGTTGCCGAATGACACTTGCGTTGTCGTCGACAACAAGCTTGACAAAACTTGAGCTAGAACAGGTATATAATGGGAAGATTGAATATTTGTTAGGAGTTATACGAAAGTTCAGTAAAATCTGAACTCGAATTCAAGTCAAATTTTACTTGAATATTTCTGTATATTTTTAAATGCTCAATAAGCAGTTTGAAATATTTTGAATGTCGATGGATCGAACATGTCTATTTGATAAAGTAGTAGCTTAATTTTTATATATTGTTTGGCATTTAAATGAATTAGAGTCGTTAAAATATGGTTGACTAAGAATCAAGCGAAATGCCAAATCAATTTTGTACCAAACTTTTCACATAACGCAATAAAAACCCGAACAATTTTTAAAGCATTTTTTGTTATTTGAAGCTCTTTAGACAAGCTGGAAAAGTTATCACTTTCAAAGCTGTTTAAGGTTGTGCGCTGACTTAAAATTGTTGAAAGTTAAAACAGAAGCTTAACTCCCACTTTCAAGCTAAATTCTAACTAGCACTTGCATATTCCTTTTAATATTCCGCATCTATTCTGAAAATTAAGTTAATATATTTTAAATGCTATATTATTGCAGATATTTGTACGTATTCGAAAAGTTATGAATTTTAAAATTTAAGCAACATTTGACTGAGTTACAGGCTTTGAAAGTGCGACAAGAGCTCAAATTAAAATGTTTTCTACAAATTTTCCTCTGCTTGCTAAAGCTTAATTTTTCCTCAAGCTTGTTAAGTTTAAAGTACTTACTATAAAATTCAGTCTCTACCAGAATTCTGTAAAAGTTCCAAAATATATTATAAATATATAAATATATATATATAAATATGTACTGTTATAAATATATCATCATTATCACATCATTCAACTGAGTTGCATTCATTCCAGCTGCTGCTTAAGTATGAGTGTTGAGCTCACTTTGATAACAAACATGTTGTTCTTTCTTTCAACATTATTCAAAATGATTTAAAAATTTGCTAGTTATATTTAAAAAAAAATGGAAACTTGTCATCTACTTGAGTTGCAGTAGTTATAGACTAAGTAAGTCTCTGTCAAAGCTGAGAAAGAACTTCATTCGAAGTCAATAAATATTTTTCACATAATTTTCAATATTATCTCCAATTAAGTTTAGAGTTCTGGAATGTCATAAGAATTCATAAAGCTAGAGCCAACAAAGATCGGACCTCATTTAACCTAGTTACAGTTCATCAAAAGGCAGAGCTGCTTCAGCTGTTGTTGTTGTTGCTGCTGTTGTCTTCGTCTTCGTGTTGCCACACTCTGTGGTGCCACATTGTGAAGCTGGTCGAGTAAATCTCTTTGGCTTTTAGCCGATAAAACGCTGCGTGTCGATTGTTCCATTTATCCATGTCACTGCTAAAAATAATAAATGAAAATCGAGAAATGCAGTTAATACCGTTTTTTGTTCGCTTTTCTTTGCTGCTCTTTATTTACATAGTCTTCTTGATTTTCCTTTTCGTTTTGGACTACAAACATTTCATTGAGTTTTACAGCTTTTTTGGTGGGGCGTTGCAACATTTTCATCTTTCATGGCATTTGGCTGCTGTCGCTGCCTCTGCCACTGCTGCTGCTGCTGCTGTGTGCCAATATTTAATTTAAATATTGTTCTTAACCAGCCTCACACACAATGTTGCAATGGGCGACGTCTAATTTGTTTGGATTTGTTCAAGGTTAGCCGCGCGCTGGAGCTGAAGTGCCTTGCCTCAAATATTACGCATACGCATTAAGTATACGCAATATAGTCGTGCCTAGTGATTTCTATTCTATTCTATTCTATTTACTTAATGCTGAACCAGGTTGCTGAAAGGCATTTGAAGCGTTTCAAGTTTGTTATTCTTTATGCCCTTCCTCAAGTGGATTCGATTCGCATTTGAAATTTATGTCGAGCACTAAAAAGAGTTTAAGATCTTTTGCTGCATAGAGATTTATTAAGTAAACTTCCAACGTATATTATGATTTATTCAAAGTAGCTTTCTCTCACCTAATACGATCTCAAATATGCCGCCAAAAGCTTGACAAAATAAACTTTTTTAAATTTAGCTACAAAAATTTATTCTGAAAAGTTTTCCCAAGCGTTGCCAGCTATAAAAACAGAAAATTGCGACGAAAACAAAATGGCAAAGACAAAGGAATGAGCGAGATAAACGTGAAAATTATAAATAAGATTGCGAAATTCACACACAACTGGGCGTTCGGGTGAGGAAATTGCGAAAAACTCAAGTGCGGAAAAGTGCGTGCCAGATAAAGAATGAAAAAATCTTAAGTAAATTACACAGTGACAGCCCTTTCTCTCTCCCTATATATATTTACAAATGTGCCTGCTAACAGTTGGCGATGGTGTTGCTGCTGATTCACCTGCGCCGTCTCATTCTGCTGCTGAGCGTTGTCTACCTGAGCGGTGCCGTGTTTCGCCGCTTGCTCAGCGAACGGCATCATGCTCATGTGCTGCAGCCCAATGGCCTGGGCGGTCTAATGGCTGGCGGTGGTCGTTGGGCCAAGGATCCCTTGCACTTTCAATGGTGGGCATACATTTACACCTGCTATGCGTACATCGTGCTGGTCAACTATGTGAGCATGCGACGTTTGACCAATCTGATTGAGTTTTTCTTTAGTTAAAATAAGTTAAGTGTATCAAATTGTTATGGTTATTTAATTAAAATTATGAGTAGAACATGCACACTTTAAGATAATACATTTTGTAGTAAAATATTGTAAGTTTCTGTTGGAAATGTTTGGGAGCATCTTGCAACGTCAAATTATAGTGTTGCCTATATAACGCCATCTATATGTCAGTTGATAAACCACACTGTGCTGTGCTGTTAATTTAGCTGTGCACAGAACAATCGCAACGGTTGGTTTGTGTCTTTGCTAAAGCTGCAAACTAAAGTTTTCTAGAAATTAATAATAAAATATATTCTAAACAATACAGAATTTTAAATGCTCTAAGTGAAAGTATGCTATTAAAAGAGGCCATATATATCATTATTGCATTAAATAAAAATGTGTAAAACTTATTTTTAGAAAAGCTATTTATAGCTTTAATAAAGAAAAATTCGAATTGTCTACTTATAGACAGACAGTTTCAGAACTATACGATATGTATCTTGGCATGCAGGTCCAAATATATGCCATAGACTATTTAAAAAACAAATGACGCAAAAGCTAATGTCCAACCAAAATAACAAACAAATAAAAATAAAATAAAACAAAATTCTTTAGGCAACTTTTTGCATTTGATTCAAATCGACAGAGGGAAAATGCAATCCGCTGACATTAATTAAATTCCCATTGCATTTATCGCTGACAATCGCAAATATGTTTTGATGATTAATCAGGCTGTCCGAAAATATGCAGCGTCAAAGAAAATTCAAATTGCATAAAAATTTAATTTATAATCCAACATGTGTGCAACGACAACATCGATCCGACAGATATTAAATATAGAATTATATAGAAATATAGACTTTCACAAATATTTTTAATGTAGAAACACAGATCCGTAGACAGATATATAGAAAAAAAAATATGTTATAATGTTTACATAAGTCAGATAGTTTGATGCTCGTTCATGCAGTCTAAAGAGTATATTGGGTTTGAACATGACAAGTCGGGAAATACTATATCTTTTAATGTTTCGTACTAAGACTGAAGCTTCAATATTATGCACTTATGATTTTGAAAGCTTTCTCTTGAGATATACCAAAAAAGATTCAACTGTTTTTTTTGTTTTTGACCGTGAACGAGTATTATGCAGTCGATAATTGTTATACATCAAGTGAAAATATAAAAAATTAATAATGGTTTAAAGATGTTTATACATTAAATGTTGTATATACACTGAAATAAGTCTTAAATAAGCAAGTTGTAATATTATATAATTTTTTTTTTTTTAATTTTTATTTACTTTCACTTACATACAATTGTGTATTTGCCACTCATGAGTTTCAAACTAAGCAATAAAAAATAAATAAAAAATGGTCAAATAATTCAAAAACTTTTGTAGTTGTATGCGCAGGCAGACTACATATAAACTCTTCTAAAGATCGATAGAAAAATAATTTTTTTAATTATTTCAAAATTTGAGTAAAGAACTATAAATAGTAAAAATTAGCTAAATCCAGTTTTAGTTTAAGAAATATATTCCTTTTATATTATATGTCATATATGTTACACATTAAAGTATCTTTATCTTTAGCTTCATTATAGTATCTTAATTCCTAAGCATCTAAAATTGTTTACTTTATAATTGAAAATTTATATTACAAAATACATCTATGGTTTTTAAATATGCAACGCCTGTAAAATTTGCCAATTTTCAATTAACACTAAAAATTTGTTTATTGCATTTTCCCATGCTGTTGGCAAAAGCTGTAGCAGCAGCACCCACATAGACATTAGATATTTATACCAAACCACTAGGCTATATAGTATCTGAACGATATAGACGACTACAAGCAGATGAGTCACAGGCTTTTGCCTTGGCAGGGCACACGTCACAACGTATAGAAGAATCAGATAAACACATTTTGTCAAATAAGCAAATAAATAGACAAATATATATATTTATATCTATATTGGTGTGAATCATCTAGAATTTTGATTTGAAGTTGTCAACGCCGAAAAAGAAAGCAAATTGTGTGCAAAAAAAAAAAGAAAATGCATTAAGGTGCGTTGGGGAAATGTTGTTCGTTGTTTGGTTTGTTTCCCCAAATGCATTAGGAAGTGTTTATTTATGGCGTCGGTTGGAATTTCGAGTGGGGCACCCCCACTTGAGCTTAGCTGGTTAGCACTTAGCCGCGGGCTCGATGAGGCATGCCCCAAGTGTGATCTTGGTGCGGCAGTTGAAGTGAGTGAGACTTCAAGTGAGCCATGCAAAAAGTCGAAAGTCGGAAAACAAATACAAAAATAAAAGCGCAGCGCCGCGCAGCGTAGCACTCGTCAAATGGGCACACACACTTTATAAAGCAGGAAAACACCTCATAGAAGCTGTTGCTATATATAACTGCATAGCAGGCGTGCCTGTGTGTGTGTGTGTGTGTGTGTGATCATAACAATTTTGACCCAATTTTGTCGTAGCGCACGAAACATGAAACACAAAGAAGATCAAGCGAGCGAATGGAGGAGACAGCAACGCCCCCTACTCCTGCCAACCAGCTCCTGCTGCTGCTCCATCGTCTTCTGCTCAGCACTGACCTCAGCGCATCTGTAAAATGCTGAGCAATGAGCCGGATACCTGTAGACAGGTGTGCTATCAAAACGTATTGTGTTTTTACCTGCAATTTGTTTCGAATCCACACTTTGCTCACCTCGATTTTCTGATAAAACATTCGTCTATATTTAGCTGACTTATTTATCTTTTTTCTAGTGCTTCGCTACATATTCGCCATGTTATTTTTAACTTATTACACATTCCAAAATGTGGCAAGCGCTCAAAATGTTAAATATTATTCTAGAGCCCAGAAAAGTATATACACATGCATAAAATAAATAAAATTATGGCCAGCACTAAGTATCTAGAAGATACGAAATGGCCAGCCAGCAAGCTAGCCAGCCAGCCAACTTTATATACATATGTTCACAGATACATATATATAAATATATATATATATATATATGTGCGTGCGTGAATATAGTCGTGTCTATATGGCCTCTGCTGCTGTGTATCTATACACTCAGGTGAATTGTGTGTGGAAAATGTAGATGATTATGAGCAAAAGCGAAAAGCGGGAGAAAAAAAAACATATTTGAAAATAACGCTAAATTCAAATGCTAAAAATAAGCGAAAAATCATTCTTAAGTTTAGTGTGTGTGCGTGTGTGTGTAGCACACTTTGCACAGGTGTGAGAAGCTGCTCAAACATTGAGTCAAATTCAAATTCAAATTCAAATTCTACTCAAAGAAAGCTCTTTTTGGAAAACTGAGCTAACAAATATGACACTCCAAATAGATATACATATGCATGTAGATAAAGATATAGATATAGATACAGATACAGATAAATTTGCTCATTTATCTGCATCTCTTCGGCTGCCCATTAAATAACAATTGTAAGAATGACAGCCAGTTGTCTGCTTGGCAATATTGGCCAATAAAAGCAGCTAATGAGCCAGGCCAAACAGATCGCATGGCATGGCCAAGGATTCGCTCAATGCGAGCATGCCAGCATGTCTTATGCCCGCTCGCAGCGGCAAAATAAAGCGTATTGGTTGAAGTTGTATGAGACACATACAAATCGAGTGTTAATCAAGAATTAAGATAAATAATGGAGCTACGATCAACTGAGTTTCTCTCCTCTCCTACATCGTATATCGTATGTCACACAACATATAATTTACATCGTATTTTACATGTCGTGTATATTATAACGTGTATCGTATCGTATATCGTATATGTCATTACATATCGTATATCGTTTATTTAACATTGTATGTCGTACATACAGTTTAGTATATCTTTCTGTATTTCAATGTATTGCTTAAAATCTTCAATATATTTCTAGACTACGAACGAGCATTTTTCAGTCAATCAAACTCTTTTCTTGTGTTTTATGTCTATTATTTATGAGCAAAAAATAATGTACCTATAGCCAAATGTTTTTTAGCAGACCTTGCAATAAATACAAATTTTGCATATGAAAAACTTAAGACCTAAACAAAAAGAAATATTACGAAATTAATTATTATTAAATTGACTGTCAGATAAAAATAGAACAATAATAAATAATATATTTTGCAAGTAAATATAAGTAATTGGAAATGATTGTATTTAAATAATAGTTATATAATATAATAAATAATAAACAAAATCTATAACAAATAATATAATATTATTCAGCAAAAAAAGGAAAATTTAATAATAATACAATACTTTTATTGCCTAAAAAATTGAAAATAATAATTAATAAATAATAATAAAACATGAAATAAACATCATAAATTATAATTTTTGAAACGTTGTATTTCATAATGTTAAAAAAAAAAAATATATATATATATATTTTGTTTCTTTTCATATTTTGTTATTTTGTCCGCTGAGAAATATTCTGCTTTATAAGAAAATTGTGTGTATATAATTATGTTCTTTTGTACATATTATACATTATGTACATAATTCAGTAGTTCACCTTTAAGTTATAACTAGAAAAAGTATAAAAAAAGATTTTCAAAAATATATAAAAATAAAATAAAAGAATTTGTTCGATATTTCTATCATGTAGGAAGCTATTTGAATGTGTGAAAGGCAGATACACAAAATGAAAACCGCAAAGCACAAGCGCACACACACACATACACATAGACATAATAAGGTGTGCGTGTGTGTGTATGACATCGGCTAATTACAGGTAAGCAAAAATAAGAAAACAAAAAGAACGTTGGAGTTTATTTTTGTTGCTCCGCCAACTGACGTGAAAATACGTTCACACTCGGCGGCAGGCAGCCAAAAAAAAAAACATAGAACAGAAAATTCAAAATCAAAGAATTTTCCACACAACTGAGCAATTAACACGCACATAGCAAAGGAGAAAAACTCACTCGAAAACACACTCAAAGGAAGAACTGCCGAAAATAAGCGCGTCGAGCCAAAGGCAAAAAGCACACTCAAAAGAACACCCAAAAAAAAAAAACGAGAAGAAAATTAGAAAATCGTAGAGCCGAGCGCCAAGCTGTTCGGA